ATCGACATCGGCTTCCTCCTCCTCCTCCTCATTTTCATAATCATCGTCCCTCCATTCCTCAACTTTTTCTTGCTCCTCCGACACCTCATCGATGGTGGTTAGGGCTGACAAGAAAATTGGCTTCCTACGCTCAGCATCCGCCACAGTCCCGTCTATTTCCGAGAAAAAATAGGGCAATTTTGAGTAACAACTTTGTAAACCATCACTGTTTCACATACGAAAGAATAATGCGCTTACTGGATGGCCATTTTTGACATCCATCCTGGTGAGGAAAATTGCCGTGAGCTGCCCCAACAACGCCGACATGATCAAATCCCGGCGTTTTCGCAATTAAATCCGAATTTGTTGGATCGCACTGTGTTGTTAGAGTAGAATCACGGCTGGAAGAATGGATTTGCAATATTTCATTAACAATAATCCTTATGGAATAATGGTAATCAAATAAAGTAGGTTTCTACATAGCATATAATTTGGCGCACCAACCTTCTGGAAGTAGTATCCGCGACAGAATTTCTCGGAAGATAAGGTGTCCTTGGAAAATGCCATTGTCCGGACAAACGGTTGCATTGATCTTGCGGGTTGGAAAAATTTGTAAACACAACAACAACAAACATTAACATCAAAATCGAAATTAAAACGACGTCTGCAAAAGAAAGACGGAAATTCCATTAATTGGTACACTCAGAATGACACAAAAGAGGCCTACACGATTTGCATAAAATTGCGGTAAAATTAAGAGTAATTAAATGTACTTAGCGATATACATGAAAGGTGGAAAGCAAAGCACTAACCGTGTGACGTGTTGATTGGAAAATGCCACAAATGGCTGTCGATTTGGTTGAAAAGGAATCCATGAATCAGAAACGTGGGAATCAGAAACAGATTTGCGCAGAGTTCAGCGAGCCGCTGCACGGTCAACATGGCTGACTTTTGTGTTTTTGAATGACTGGTGGGTATTGATCGTGCACATGTCGACTTTCGAATGCCAGCATGGGAGCACGTAAAGCTGATCATGCTTACGCATCGTGCAGTCAGGAGTCTGCTGCCGCAAGATGGACGCCAACTACTTATCACTCGCATCTCCTTCCAGGTCTGTTAGAACATTCGAGAATGTAGGAAAATATCTCCATGCATAAGATAATCCTGGTGTTTCTCTGGTTTCAGTTTATGATGGAAAAAAATTTTTTTCTAAAGTACGGGATAACCTATGAGTTTCCCTACATATGGTGGCAAGATGTAATTCGTTCGTTACTGACTTGCAACATAAATTGTTCATAATGGACTCTAGTTATAAAAAAAGTATAGAAATGGCTTGCTCGATTGTTTGTGTTGGTCAGGATTTCTTCCGTCGTTTCCTAAGCGTGCCCACATTGGCCCTGCTTAAGATATTCTTGACGCTTAGACGTCCAAAACTCTGAAAACAAATGCTGGTAGAACTACTACGATCCCAGAATAAAGTCACATTTTCCTAATATACTAAATATTGTTCAGTCAAACATCTGCCTCTCCAGATATGAAGATGTATGGGAAAGCAGTGAAACCATAAATGCAAAAGGAGATAAATGGAAGTACGTCATCGCTGCTAACCCAATCCCTAGAAAAAAATTCCTTAAATGAATCGGTGTGGAGCTGAAATACCCAAAATTCCCATTTTGCTTTGACGCCGAATCCAGTGTATTACTAATCACAAAAGTCTACAAATTTAAACAGAGGGACATATCTGTTATCAGGAATGGAGAATATTCGCGTTCAGGAAAGATGTGAAATGGTTGAATATTGAGTGAGCAGAGGACTCATTGAAGCTGTTAGAATATTCTCGGTTTCAGTTTGAACCCCATGCCTGAAATTTGTGATATTATGACCCCTGTACCAGATGTCTGGGTAGCGAAGATTAAAGTGATAACTGACAAGAAATGTGCATAGTAAAGCTCCTATAAAATACCTGTCTACTGCCTACTCGGACGTCGGTTCTTCGAACTAACTGACTGTCGCATGCCGGATCAACAGATAGTCTGTCAGGTTCGTAGATTTGCCAAGTCTGCACAAAGAGGTCAACTTGATCAACGGGATTTGCATTAGACTTCTTAGATAAACCAGTAGTCTATACGAATTTGCTTTAATGGTGAAGATCGTTAGTATCAAACTACGTATGTGGGTGCTCTGCAGTGGGCGCTGCTGCCCGACGCCCTCCTAACTTTTTACGCCACAGACAAGGTCACTCAGAGCATAGGGCATCGTGCGAAGGCAGTTTTGGCTTGCCTGGGGCGAAGACGCAGTGACATGCGACCTATTAAAACACTCACGTCGGTTGGCCCACCCGAACTGGATTAAGGTAAGTGAAATGCGTATTAGTGTTCGTCCATCTTTCAGAGAAAAATACTTCCCTGCAAAATCTACAAACAAACTGATCCGGTGCTCGACAATCCTTCTTCCTTATCCATGCAAATACCTGGAACGCGAACTTTCTCCTTCATTCATGCCTAATATTGCATAGGCTCGATAAAGTCCGCTTTCTGTAGGTTATCCAATTCCCATTCGAGCTTTGGTGCAAATTCTTTGGGGGCTGAACGAGTTTTGTAGAGCCGGGGTTTAAATTTTTTTGTTAATTCGAATGTC